TTGTCTTTGACTAATTATCAAACTGTAATCAGTGAGGTTTTTCTCCAGACCTTTCAGTTTGCAGCATAGCCACATATAAATTTGTTAAAACAGCATTTTCCTCACTTAATTCGGTAGACTAGCTGTGTTGCTTTGCTCTCAGAGAGCCAGCAGAAACGTCTTGCAGCCAGGTTCATGTTTACATGTGGATTTGCTTTGGTGCCTTTGCTGGCAGAAACACTCGGTCACACGCTCAGGACGGACTCAGGTAGCCAATAAAGTCCTAGACATCTTGTCTGGAGTTTGGTGTCACAGGCTGACTTGCAAATCTGAAGCACAGGTTTCTGAAGCCGAACAAATCTTCTCATTAAATCTTCATTCAGCAGCATTAAAAAAACAAAGCCAGTGTGTGTGGCAGAGGCTTCTGGTTGACGTCCAGAAATCGCAAGAGAAGTCAAGTGCAAAAGACAAGAAGCAAAGCAATCAGCCATAACTTCTAATTCGGTGCCAAGTAAAGTGAACAACAGTGATTATTTCTAGAATACAATGTTCTACAGAGAAACCTTGAAATCTAGGAATAATAAGATTTTATTTTATATTACAACCATATTTACAGTCAGCTCTTTTCGTGTTATCGGAAAATAAATCAGAATTTTATTTTTCTCAAAAAGGGCAGAGTGTCAAACAAATTACTGTTGAACCACTTGAAAAGCTTGACAAGTTTTTCAACCTCGAAGCAAAGATGCTTCTGAGCTGAACTACTTAAACGCACTTTCTCACTGAGCTTCAACAGTTTGGAAGCTAGCTCAAAATTATAGAAAAATATCCAGAAATGACTTAATTTTTTTTTTGTTGTAGTCTAACTGAATTAAGTGACCAGTGCGTCAAGTGTTCATGTTTTAAATGATCAGTTTTTGAAAATCACAGACAAGTTTTTTTGTTCATGGTTTTTGTGTTTTTGGCTGTGCACATTATTTTGTTACTCACCTTAACTGCCACCAAGCGACAAGTCTGCGAGCCTCTGCTCCTAACGAGAGGAAGCTGAGAACCCTGTGACGGTTGCAAAACAATCTGAAGTGGGTCTCCCTTATGAATGCTGTTTACCAACTAGTCACAGTGAGATACCAGCTTAAGGCTGTCACACTCAGTGTTCAATGTGTGTCATCAAGTCAGCTGCTGGGTTTGAACAACTGACTCACTACTGGTATCAAAAACAGTTTTTTTTTTTTTTACAAATTTATTTCAGCCTTGAAACTTTAAGGACAATATTCTCATTGACTGTAAATGAAAATGTCCACACCTTCAGGCTTTTAAAAGAGATTATTTTTCTAGGTACWTAAAACAGATGATTTTTTTTTCTAAAGAAATGATTTCTTGCTTACATGCACTGGTGAATGGGTAAATGTCTGAAAATAAGGGTAAATGACGAGTTTCTATTTCATACAGGAATATTATTTCATCTCGATGTTTCTATGTCTGTTTACCACATATTTTAGAGCCACTGTGTTTCATTAACTGTGTCTCAGTTCATGCGTTGAAGCCAACTTTGGCCTGATTTGTTGGAGACTTACTGTTAAGTCTGCGCCTACACATGCGGTCRACAAATGCAGCCGACAAAGCCCCAAAAACATTGGCTGCATCTGAGTATCCTACGTGGCCGACTGTATCCCAGAATTCACCATAAGCAAATTAAACATGGCAAAGTTTATTTTTAATTTTTTTTTAAATGATAGAGTTTTGAAATTTATGAAGAATGTAAGTTAAATGGTTTAGCTGAAGAAACTTTTGCTGCAATGTGATGTTAAATAAAATGCAGTTACAAATACTGATACTGGCACTAAACCCAAATTATTAATGCTTTTTTTTACAGTACTTGTAACATTTTATTATTAAAACTGAATTTTGTGATGTTATACCTTGAAAAAAAAAACAAGAGAAGCAATGTGATATAAAACGTATCACCACGATAACGAGGCAGCGCGTGGTCACGCAAACATTCGTCGTCTGTAGACTAGACCATCTACAGCACGCAGCATGCTGCATGCCGAACCGCCGACATTGGATCAGATTGTTGCAATTTCATGATGAAAATTGCGTCATTCTGTTCGCATTGTCGACATTTCGCAACCTTCTTGTCGCAAACCGTAGGCCAAACTTTGGTCAGACGTTTGCGGGAGTGTTGGTTTATGCTGAAAGCACTCGGGCGCTACATTCTGCTTCAACCACTCGCTTTAAAAGAAAAAAATAGGCCTGCTTGCTTCCAGAAGCCAACTGTTGTAYGACCCACATAGACTGTGGTCAACGGAGGACACGGTTTATGTTGGTTGCAACCCATAAACTGAGACACAGCCATGTTTTCTCAATCTTTTTGTTTTAAAACACACTAGTCGACAATGGTTAGTTTAGCACTTTTCTGTTTTCTAATGTTAACTTTTCTCTTCCTGTTTTTTGAGACCATTTCCAAAACTCTGGATTTGTTTGTGCGGTCATGAGTTAAAAACAATATTCTCAACTATGGATGCACGATATATCGGCATTAGTATCGGTATCGGTCGATATTGGTCATTTTTTTAGAATATYGGTATGGACCATTATTAACGTTCATTTTGATTTCCCACTTTTTAGCTTTGTGTTTTTGTTTCTGGAGGGGAGATGGTTGGTTGAGCGGCATCTGWTTGATCATGATAGTGATAYTGAYGCTGCGCTGCCAGGAATAACTGAAGTAGGGAGCCATGTCAGAGGTCTGGTCGATTATTTGTGGGATCAAGAAAAGACCCAAGTGTGTTAGTGCRTATATGTATAATGTAATTTGTGTATTTGTGTAATATCAGTAAATATTKGTTATTGGCCATAACAGCAATAATTATATCAGATATTGATATTGGCTGAAATTTTCAYATTTGTGCATCCCTGTTCTCAACCTTTTATTTTCGTTTGAACAAGACTCATAAATGCATTTAACGGGACCCRTCAGACCCGCCTCACCCATTCATAACACAAAGAAAGATTTCTGCGTGATGATTTACATGACAATAAGCAGATGAAAGCTACTTTTCATCCCCAACTGAGGAGTTTCAAATGACACCCACTCCCCCTTTTTCCTCCATGAAATCAATTCACGATTTTTGTTCTGCTCCCATTTCTCATTCTTCATTTCAATTGGTCCAACAGCAGCCATTTCACCAAATTTCTCATCAGGCATTCATGGAAAAAGCCTCGCAAATACAAGAAGCGTTGCAGTTCTTGTACACAAGAGGGATCAGAAAGAGCAAAGGGCGAATAGAGAGGTGGCTTCACAGTCTGATGTGCACGTTTGTGCACGCACGATTGATGCCTGTTCAGCTTCCCTTTTGCTTTCTGTCTATTTAGCATTCTTTCATTCCTCCACTGTGCTGCTTGGCCTGGACAAAAGCTCAGTGGGAAGTGAGGCAGCCTGGCTGAGAGAGAGAGAGAGAGAGAGAGAGAGAGAGAGAGAGAGAGAGAGAGAGAGAGAGA